TGAACTCCTACGACCACGTGCTGAGCTACTGGGACCACGCGATTAGCTGACAGGGCCACAGGCAGGGCTTCGAACACCACGAGCAACGCTCCGAGCATGGCCGGCTGAACTACGAGAGCTACGAGGACCACCTGCTGAGCCACCAGGGCCACAACCAGAGCTACGCGGACTACAGGAAGGACTATAAGAGTCTCCTGCAGAACTACTGGGCCGACGCCACCACTGCGAGGGCCACAAAGAGAAACACTGGCAGAGCCACGAGGGGTGCAACCTGAGCTCCGAGGACCACGGGCACACCTAGGAGACGTACGAGGTCCACCTGCTGAGCTGCGAGGCCCACAACCTGAGCTATGCAGACTACAAGAAGACCTACCAGGGCCTCCTGCGGAACGTTCGGGGGGACGACTTGAGCTGCAAGGAGCAGAAGCAGAATTTCGAGACCCAGAGGCTGAGCTAGGAGGGCTCCAGGCAGACCTACGAAGGCAAACACTTGAGCGCCGCCGACCACAATTTGAACTACGAGAGCCTCCCGCACAGCTAACAGGGCGACGAGCTGCGCCACCTGCTGAGCAAGGGCAGCCACCAGCACAGCTACGAAGATTACATGCCGAGCTACTGGGACAATGCGCTGGGCGATCAGGGTCACAAGCAGGGCCACAAGGACCACATGCAGGGTTCCGAGGGCCGCGACTACCAGAAGCCCGATCGCAGTCGACGACGCAGCGTAGGGCAGGCTTGACAAAACGTACCACGATTGCGTCGTCGAGAAACTGGACGAGACGTCCGCCACCGTCCGATAGCTGGACGGCACTACGCGCCGGCTCCAGCGCGCGGCAGTTCGTCGGCCGCGAGAGCTACGGCGAAACCAGCGTGCCTGATGCCGGAGAAACTAACGGCCTACAGCGTTACGGACAATGGTACACAAATACAACGTTACGCAACAGGTACTACGTCTAACATGAAACTAGCGCCGCACTCCGACATCACTTGCGCGGACCAGCCGCTACCTCCACCTCCCCCTTTCCTTCTTGGCATCAAGAGAACGGAATAGCAAGGTCAGGTGGCCTCCGCCCCCGGCGGCGTCCGGGGGGGGCCATGCCCGCGCGGAACCGGCCCGCGCGCGCGAGGGGCGGACGCGGACGGGGAACCGCAGAGGCGGCTGCGACAGAGAAGGAGGAGGCTGAGGATGAGAAGGAGGAAAAGGAGGAGGAGGAGGAGGAGGAGGAGGAGAAGGAAGAGGAGGCTGCCTCCCGAAGACGACGTTGCACGGCGTAATGCCACTCACGTGAATGAGGCCCTTGCCCGTGAAAGTAGCGCGGACAAGCATGGAGTCGGAAGTTGGCGGCGAGATCGCATTCCAGCTGCTCCTCTGAGGCGCGAAATGCATGGCGTAGTATAGCCCCACGTCGCACGATGAAACGAGGGTGTTGTCGGGGAGTTGTGAAATCCACCTGGACTCCTCGCCTGTTCACCTTTTCCACGAAGTATGTTGAAGTCGCACCGCCCCCACCCTCCACGATGAACGTCTGCATCGCACCGAATAGCTGGATCCACAGTCTGCCGAAGGCAGCACGCAGCGTCGGGTCATGGTTTGATTCGATATCATGGCCGCCGTGCCATCGTGAGGCGGATCAGATGCATAATCATGCGATCCCCGTAGCAAAAGATATCGCACTCGACGTGCTGTTTCAACCGTGTCGGGGAGCCGGAATGTTCAGTGCGCTGGCGGTTGCCACTTGATGCATCCCCTACAGTTGCTTACTACGGGGATGAGGTCGGGGATGCCCTGGGGGACGCTGGCTACGCGCAGTGCTCGCGCCATGTCCTCCTTGGCGACACGCCACCACCACCTGAGGTGAAGTTTTCGCAGTTCTCCCATGCGCGTCCCATGCGAGTCCCCACGTGGCGCTCGTAGCGACGTGGAAATCGGACTGCCCAACTACCGTAGCGTCGGTGGCTCGTGGAGCCGTTCGTCTAGGCATTGCCCCCGTCAACGGGCTGGCTCGTCGTCCCAGTCTGGCGACGCAGTCACTCGAACCAGGACTCTGGTCCAACAACAGACTCGCCGGCCCCGCCACCCGATGAGCTGGCCCTCGATGTACCTGAGGGCGGCGGTGGATGAGCAGATTCAGCGGCTTCTCCCAAGTCGGCTCCTCCAGATAGTTGAGCCTGCTGGTCGCGGAAGCGACGTGGTCCTCCAAGTCGCGGCAGTGCTCGTTGGCATCGTCCAACGCGCGGGCGCGACCGCGCGCGAAGGTCTGCAAACCTGCACTCGCTCAACTAACGTGCGCGCGCAGGCCGGTCGCATTTCTTCTCCTCGCGGCCGCCTGGGCACCCCCGACGAATAGAAACACTGCGAGGGCATGGGCAGGTAGTCGGACCCCCGGAGCGCACGGACGAATCCACCCGCACGTTGCGCCGGCACGCCTCGCACATGCAGCGCGCGCGCTCGGCGGCCATCCCGCTCCTGATCTGACCCCCCGCGGCACCAAAGGCCAGCACTGGGGGGGCTGCTGCGGAGACGTCGCGTTCGCGAACATAGTTCGCGAGATGCGAGCGCCCGAGGCGGCGATGTAAAACCGCGATAGTTAGCCTGCACCACCTCTTCGGCCAACTTCCAAAGTCAAATTTGTGCGTCGAGTCTGTGGCGGACCTCGGCGCGGGCGTGCTTGCGCTTGCTCGGGCACTTGAGATTGCTGAACTGCTCGCTGATCTCTGTGATGTCAGCGGCAAGACCTGTGGCTTTCCTCTGGAGACCACATAACGACCCTCTGGACGCGGCGCGCGGGCTCGCGGTTATTGCATCGTCGCCAGCGCGCTTTGGCGCACTTGCAAGCCCGAAACCGGCGCGCCACGCTGCCCTACAAGAACGTCGCGTAGTTCGGGGTCGTCGGCGGCTGTTTCGGATGCGCCGAATAAGCTGATGGTGTCGGCGTCGGTGCCTGAATCAATACACGCCGCTGGGAATGCCTCCTGCACCGGTGGCGCGAACGCAGCTGGCCTCGGCGCCGCTCCCAAAGCGGATGGACCAAGGCTGCCCCAGCTCGATCCGGCTGCAACGACGTAGACACTCTGAGCTTGATCTTGCGCAGGCGTGCCCGCGAGGAAGGTCGGCTGTTGGGCCGTGGACCGCTGAGGCGAAATTGCCTGGCGATCCCTCGACCATGTGCCCAAGGCGTCGCAGCTGGCTCGTCACGTGCGCGACCTGCGCTTCGTCGCTCGGGTGGGCCACGTCGCAGCGCTGCAAAATCATGGTCAACTGCACGTTGGACACCCCGACCACGCGCATGAGGACGATGCTGAGGCCCTCGACGCCGGTCATGAGCTGGCAAGCTTGTCGCGCGCGGTTTGCGACGGGCGTCGAAACGCGCGAAGAGGTCGGCTTTGCGTTCCTGCGGCAATTCGTGAAAGCCCATCAAAACCGATAATGATGAGGCGCGCTTCTCTGGCCCCAGCGTTCGCCCAGGCTGCGCGTCGGGAAGGTCATCGATGGCACTGGGCTGCCGATGATGCGACCTCCCTAGATCAGGACAGCCCGCGGCCACTCGCCCAAGCATTCGCGGGCCATGCCCGCGAAGCGGACCGAGACGCAGGCCGCCTGGCGGAACTTGTTAAGGTCCGAGTTCGCCACTGACCTGATCATCACCCCCCGCACCCATCCTTGGAAGGGAACCCGAGATTGCTGCTCGGGCCCCCAGGCGTGGTGTCGCACGCTAGCGTGGCCGCCGCCTGCGTCCACGCAGGTTGGGCAGCTGGTCAAGATGAGCATGCCCTCTCCGATGGCCTTCCACGTGGAGTGCAGGTCCCTCCATAAGGCAAGGGGGTGCTGGAGGCTGGGAGCCCACCGACGGCGTTGCTCTGACAGTGAGCCGTAGAGCAGTCGTGGGTCCCTGCCCCAACTGTGTGCCCCCTCGTCAGCGTGTTGGGCGTAGTTGTCCGTCGCGTCGTCATGGCGTTCGCCGTACTCGGGACATCCTACAACGTAGTTGTGGGAATGCGCTTCGTGCATCTTGCAGCCACTGCACTACATGCCACCAACAGCCTGATCGTGAACAGGAGTGCGCATCGGGAAGTCGTCCTGTCAGACTGAAAGGATTATGCGGGTGTGGCGATATCCCAAGTTTCAAGAGGTCGGACGCAGATCGTCCCAGATCTGTTGCACAGTCGCTTGGTGCGCTGACAATAAATCCGCCAAACATCCCACTGACTTGCCAATAATACCCAGACACGTTTCCGCCTGCATGCTACATAGTTGTGGGCGTGTAGGGACAATTGGCTGCGGCTGCTGGTGTGAACGCTGCGTCGAAAAAATGTTCATTGTATGCCACTGGCTCCCATGCTGCTGGTATGAACAACAAAAAAGGAGACAAAGTTTCTAGGTCTACGAGCGACTCAAACATATTCTGAATACGCCCCAAGTGACAGGCAGGCATTGGCGGCGGGCCGCCGTCCTTGTAGTTATGGACTTCGTGATTTCCGTAGGGTATGTGATCAAAAGGGCTGACCTTGTAGAAGCCAATGTCCTTGTCAAGGATGCGGTCAAACGTGAAATTCGTGAAGTTGCCGTCGTAGTGTGGTAGGCAAACGAATCCCCAGTCACGAGGATGGGGACGAGCGCCGCGCGAACGATCCAGCGCGTCCGCGGCCTTCGAAGCCAGACAGGATGGAGCCGTCACGCGGGCCATGGCGGCGGGAGGCAGTGCTCGAGGAGCCGGTGCTCCTAGACCAACTCGAGGATCAGATGTCCGTTCAAACGGATGCGTTCTTGCGCGAACAGGCAAGGCAAACGGATGCAAGACGAGTGTCAAACGGGCACGCGTGGGAGCGCCCTCAAGCCCCGAAATGGCAGCAGGAGGGCAGGCAAATTCAGGTTCCCGGAGAGTTTTCCGGGAACCTTCAAGACAGGGCAGGCTATAGGATACCTACCGTTTGAGTAAGAGCAGGAGGAGGAGGACAACGACGACGACAACGAGGTGGAGGATTGCGAGGACCCCTCAGGCCTGGGGCCCCCCGAGCAGCCGCAGGCTGGGCCAGGCAGCTCTGAGCGGCCGCCCGGGCGCTCTGTCGCAACCGCCGCGAGCCTCTCGAGCACGCGCTCGACACGGCGCTGCCCCGCGAGCAGTGCACGAACGCCCGCGCAGACCTCCTCGGGGCGGGGGAGGAGGCCTGCTCCTCCTCCTCCTCCTCCTCCTCCTCCTCTCATCATCATCATCACCACCACCACCACCACCACCACCACCACCACCACCACCACCATCATCATCATCATCATCAGCAGCAGCAGCAGCAGCAGCAGCATCATCATCATCATCATCATCATCATCATCATCATCATCATCATCATCATCATCATCATCATCATCATCATCAGCATCATCATCATCATCACCATCATCATCATCAGGATCATCATCAACAGCATCATCATCATCATCATCATCACCATCATCATCATCATCATCATCATCAGCATCAGCAGCAGCATCATCATCATCGTCATCATCAGCATCATCATCAGCATCATCAACATCATCATCATCAGCATTATCATCAGCAGCATCCTAATCATCATCATCATCATCATCATCATCAGCATCATCATCAGCATCATCATCAGCAGCATCATTATCAAGATCATCACCATCAGCATCAGCATCATCATCACCATCATCATCGTGATAGTAATCATCATCAGCATCAGCATCATCATCGTCATCATCAGCAGCATCATCAATCATCATCTATCATCAGCAGCAGCATCATCGTCGTCATCATCAACATCGTGTTCAGCATCAGCATCATCATCAGCAGCATCATCAGCAGCATCATCATAGTCATCATCATCATCACCATCACCATTATCATCATCATCCTCATCATCCTCATCATCCTCACAATCCTCAGCATCCTCATCATCCTCATCATCCTCATCAGCATCATCATCATCCTCCTCTCTTTGCTCCTCCTTCTCATTTTCCTCCTCCTCCTCCTCATCCCCCCCTCTTCCTAATCCTCCTCCTCCTCCTTCTCGTCCTCCCCCTCCTCCTCCTCCTCCTCCTCCTCCTCCTCCTCCTCCTCCTCCTCCAACCTGGATCCTGTTGGCGTGAAAAGTCGGCGACTGCCGCCCCCCCCCATCCTCCTCCTCCTCCTCCTCCTCCTCTTCCTCCTCCTCCTCCTCCTCCTCCTCCTCCTACTCCTGCTCCTTCTCCACCACCTCCTCCTCCTCAGTGACTCGGTGATGCAGACGGCTTTCGTGATGAAAGATGGCGCCCTAGATCCCTCCCGCCGAAGAGCCGACGGGAGGGGAACCAAAACCAAGAGGTAAGAACAAAGACAAGCGAGAGGAGAACTGATGCGGTGACCATGGAGGAGGGAGAAAGGAGGGGAGGCCGAGCGCCAGGGCTGTGCGGATGCAGAGGTGGGCCGAGTGTGGGTCCCACCCTCCCTGGGGCGAGGAAGAGGCCCGCATCGGCTCACCTCCTCCTCTTCCTCCACTCCTTCCTGTTCCTTATGAATAACTCCTCCCTGTCTCACCCCGAGGCTAGTCTTTAGGGCGGGCATGTCGCATGAGACTTCCCTTTCCACTTCTGGCCCTCAAGCTGTAAATTTGCGACAGTTCGACGGATGAAGGGCGGGTCGTTTTCAAAATGTGGCTCTCGACTTCGCGCCGCGCACATTCATTTTGCAAGTTTGCAGAAGATTGAGGGCGGGTGGTTTTCAAAATCTGGCTCTCGCCTGAGCGCCGCGTGCATTTATCTTGAAACTGTGCAACAGTGTCACAGATGAAGAGCGGGTCGCTTTCGATATGTGCCTCTCGCCTGAGCGCCGCGCACATTCGATTTAAAATTGCTTACGAGTTTCACGGATTGAGAGCGGGTCATTTTCAAAGTATGGCTCTCCTCTTAGCGCCGCGCACATTCTTTTTGATAATTTGCAAGAGTTTCACGGCGTGCGGGCGGATCGTTTTCAAAATGTGGCTCTCCTCTTAGCGCCGCGCACATTCGTTTTGATAATTTGCAAGAGCTTCACGGATTGCGGGCGGATCGTTTTCAATATGTGGCTCTCCTCTTAGCGCCGCGCACATTCGCTTTGATAAGTTGCAAGAGCTTCACGGATTGAGGGCGGGGCGTTTTCAAAATGTGGCTCTCGCCTTAGCGCAGCGTGCATCCTAGTACAGTGCAAGGTTTCACAGATTGCCGGCGATTCTTTTTCAAAATGTGACTCTCGCCTTAGCCCCGCGCCCATTCGTGTTTTAAAAAATTGCAGAGTATCACGGAAGCCCATGATCAACTACCAGAAATGGTAATTGAAAGGATTCAGGACTCTGAGGGTGCAGTAGTTAAGTTGATTCGCGGTGTTGAAGTTCCAGGAATGGCGTTCTGGCACGACTCAGGATCGTCAAGACGTAACAGTCAAGTTGATCCGTGGCGTTAGAAACCCGAGAACAATGTTTTGGCATGCTTCAGGGTCTTCAAACAGTTGTCTTCAAACGAGGCAGTTCCCTCAGTGGAAATGAGCCGTTGTAGGGCCCTATGAAGGGGGAGCTGGGAGGGAGGGTTGATTCCATCATCTTTGATGACTCTTAGGTTCACACTGGTCATCCTTCTCCGCCTCCTCCTCCTCCTCCTCCTCCTCCTCCTCCTCCTCCTCCTCCTCCTCCTCCCCCTCCGTCGTCGGGGCGAGGATCCACTGACGCGGGTCAATGCAAACCCGGATCAGTCAGGCTCTGCAAGATCCTGCAGGATCCTGCAGGACCATGCGCGCTCACCCTGGTCAATGCAGCCCTGGCTTTGCAGGATACTGAAAGATGCGGCGCTCTGGCTGGCCCCCCTTTGCACTGACCCCCGCCTCAAGGCTCCCAGCTCGGAGCGGGCCCCAGACCTCCGGGACGTGCCGAACAAATCGAGGCGGAGGCTTCTCCTCGGCCCTGGGGCCGCCAAGAAACTGCTCGGGGTGAAAAGCCAGTCTCAGGGAAACGGTCGAGAGGTCGGGGGCCCGTGCCTCCCTAAACTCGAAACGCTGGATTGTCTGGGGTGGCGCGCGCCGCCGCCGGCGCCGTCGCCGCCGCCATCGGCGCCGTCGCCGACGTCGTCGCCGCCGCGGTCCCCTCGGGTGCGGGCGTTGCAGGCTGGGCTGGCGCCAAGCGGTGTCGCCGAGTCTCGGGCACCGGGCCATCACCGATCGACGCGGCTCGAAAAGTGCGGCGGGAAGAGGAGGTCTGGACCTCTGGATATGATTCTTCCCGATGTTGCACTCGGTTCGCAACGTGGGATCTGAAGTCGGCGTCGCAGCCGTCGGCGAGCGAAGGGGAGGGGAGGGGAAGGCGGAGAGGAGGAGGAGGAGGAGCAGAACGAGGAGGAGGAGGAGGAGGAGGAGGAGAGGGGAGGGGGGAGGGGAGCGAAGGGGGAGGAGGGGGAGGATTGACACCCAAGGATGGGTGCTGCTAATGGCGCCCCGTCGATCCCCGGCTGGGGACTGTCCCGGGCGGCCTCTCCTCCCCACGGCCAGGGCCCCCTCGAGGCCCTGGCAGGGCCCCGCGCCTCGAGACCGGGGGAGGAGGGCAGGGGGAGCAGCTCGGGAGGGGAGTGCTCGCGGACAGAGCAGGGGGAGGCGGCGAGGATCGGTGGGAGGGAGGACGGAGCAGGGGGAGCAGATCGGGAGGGGAGGGCGGACAGGGCAGGGGCCGGGCCGCGGGAGGGCCCAGGAGCAGGCGGGGAGGCTCGAGGCGCGGAGGCCGGGCAGCTCTCTCTCGAGGTCGGCGAGGCGTCGGCAGCCCTCTCGAAGTCGGGCGTGTGCCCCTACAGGGGGAGCAGCTCGGGAGGAGGGCAGGGGGAGCAGATCGGGGAGGGCGGACAGAGCAGGGGAGGTGGCGAGGATCGGTGGGAGGGAGGAAGGTCGGAGGCCTGGAGATCGGCACCAACACGAGCACGGGGGGGGGGGCTCCACATGGGGAGGATGATCCTAGATTTCGGTGTTGGTGGTAACATTTCGGTCACCTTGGAAACCAGAGTATTGACACCATCACCGAGATCGGAATCGTCTTCCCTCGGTGGAGGCACACCGCCGATCTTGGTGTTGGTGTCAACCTCTAGGCCTGCGAGAAAGGACAGGGACAGGGGGCGCAAACAGAACAGGAAACGAAGGGAAGGGGGAGAGAGAGAGAGAGGAGCTGACAGAAGAAGCAGCGGGAGGGGGGGAGAAGGGTCGGAGGGAAGGAGGGGGGCGATGCGGAGAGGCAGCGCTCGCGAAGGAAAGCGGCAGGGGGGGCGGCGGCAAAGGGGTGAGGGCGGAAGGGGCACGGGCAGGGGAGGCGGGAGGGCCAGGGAAAGGAGACGGGAGGGCAGGGCACCAGGGAGCTTGAAACACTTTTTACCTGCACGCAGGAGCCCAGTGGCACGACGGACGACGGACGAACGAAGGACGACGACGAAAACGACCAGAGAGCGCGCGAGGGGAGGAGGGGCGAGAGGGGAAAAGGGGAGGAGGGCCAACCAGGAAGCTTGAAACGCGCATGGCTGGGTTCCCCCCGCGGCCACCCCGGTGGCAGAGGGCCAGCGCCGCATGGCCACGGAAGCACTGGGCGCCGGCAGGGCATGCGGCCGCGCACGCATCCAGCGCTCGCCCAGGCCCGCCGCCTCGCGTGCATCCAGCCTCCTGCTGCGCCGCTCGCCGGCGCTGAGGCGTCGCTGCCCTGCCCGCAAGCTCCATGAAGTCGCCGCCTACCCCTCCTGCTCCCAATCCGACTCCTCCTCCCCTCCTCCTCCTCCTCCTCCCCCTCCTCCTCCTCCTCCTCCTCCCCTCCTCCTCCTCCTCCTCCTCCTCCTCCTGCTTCTCCTCTTCCTCCTCTTCCTCCTCCTGTCTCCTGTCTCCACAATAACACCATATGAATACTACTCTCCTATCTCCCCTGATGACGTCCCGGGGATATCCGGCCCCCTCCGCGTACTGTTTTTTTTACACCGGATTCCCGGGAGTTGGGTTTTCGCTTGACTTTTCCCCAACATGTTGCTCCCGCTGGGGCGCTGATCTCATTTTTGGGCTTTCGCTATTTCCGAATCGTGCTCGCGCTGTAGCGCTGGCCTCATGTCCGCGCTTCCGCTCGTTCCGAATCGTGCCCCAACTACAGCGCTGGCCTTCCTTCCAATTAGGCCCCAAAATCTAAAAAATGCCACCCCCCTTGAGAAAACCATGGAAGTGACTCCACCTTCGACGTCGATTCATTGGTTCTTTGTGCCGCAGAAGCCCCCCTCGTTCAGGTAATATCAAGCGAGAGCCCTGTTTCTGCATTGAGAAGGCGATGTTGAAAGCAGAGCCAGCGGGTGATCTCCATCAGCCCCGCCTTTTGTGGAGCTTTTCGCGGAGCCCAAGGGCTAGACATGGAGCCGCGACTCCAGACCGGCCCAGACCTCTCAAAGACAAACCACTTATCGTACAAGGAACCTGGCGCCATGCCATGACATGCTGTGCGGTGTTGTGTTCTGCGCCGCTGTGCGATGCCATGCTTTGCGTTGGAATGCTTTGTGATGCAATGTTTCACTGCGCAACGCCACGCCATGCTATGGCATGCCACGCTCTGCCGTGCTCTTCCATGCATCGCGTACCCTCTCGCGCTCATTGCGCTGCTCGACATCCGACGGTGCGAATAGAGAGGATGTCTACGCCATAGTAAGGGATGGGAGGGAGGGTAGGACGTCTCATATGACGCGAGCGCACCTAGCTTGCCCTCCTCCACCTCCCCCTGCTCGCCTTCCCCCCTCTGGACTAAAAACCAAACGACACCAAAACACATACGAGCCAGCGATGTTGAAAGTTTCGGCACGTGCCCACCTGCGACCACCTGCGACCCACCCACGACCCAGCGGATCGCAGGTAGGGTGGTGTCGATTGGTTTTTGGTCGACCCTCCTCGTCCTCATCCTAGGGAAGCGAAAAATGGCATAAACGTAAAAACTCGGAGGTCCGCGCGGACTTCTTGGTTAAATCAAGCTCCGACTGATCGGAAATAGGCCCCCTGCGGCGAGTCCGCACGCTCCTAGGCGGGGTGGGCTATCGGGCTCCTCTCGGCGATGAGTGGGCGATTGGGGGGGGTCCATGCATTTTCCCCTGAGCTTGTCCCCCCTGACGTTGCCCATGCTCCTCCTCCCCATCCGAGACGAAGGCCGACACAGGACAAACTGGGGCGAGGACGAGGACAGGTCTGGAATTACTCGGAGCTAGCGGGCCTGCGGAAGGGGCGCCTCGCGTGCCGCAGCCGCTTCGGAGAGCCCGCACCGCTCCGAGAGCTCTCCACACATGCGGAACCGTGAGGAGAAGAGCAGGATGAACATAACCATGACAATGACCATGATCATGATCCCTCCCGGCCGTCCGCTCCCCGAGGTCGCCGCCCACGCCGGCGGACAGATCTGGCGCCGCGGCGCCGCGGGGGCCGTCGGCCATCGCGGGATCGAGGCGGCGCCCCAGCGCCCGCGCGCCGCGGGTGTGCGCGCGCGCGCACGCGGGCCGTCCGCCTCTGTCTGCCCGTGCCTCGGCCTGCTGCGCATGCTGCACCTCCCCCTGCCGACCCCAAACCTCAAACGTTCGTTGCGTGTTAATCGGCCCCTTTACCTCCTCCTCCTGCTCCTGCTCCTCCTCCTCCTCCTCCTCCTCCTCCTCCTCCTCCTCCTGCTCCTGCTCCTCCTCCTCCTCCTCGTCTCCTCCTCCTCCTCCTCCTGCTCCTCCTCCTCCTCCCTCCTCCTCCTCCTCCTCTCCTCCCTCCTCCTTCCTCACCTCCTCCCCTCTCCCCTCCTCTCTTCCTCCTCCTCCTCCCTGTTCCTCCTCCTCCTCCTCCTCCTCCTACCTCCTCCTCCTCCTCCTCCTCCTCCTCCTCCTCCTCCTCCTCCTCCTCTTATTATTATTAGTATTATTTGTCGAATGTTTTCTCATTGTTCGTCTTATTATTTGTCTTAGTGTTATTAGTATTGTTATGATTATTCTTATTATTATTAGTACTCTTTTTATTATTAGCAGTCTTACTATTATTATTCTTATTATTATTATTCTTCTTATTCTTCGTATTAGTCTTCTTCGTATTCTTATTATTAGTATTAGCATTATTAGTATTAGAATTATTATTATTAAATAATAATATGCGTATTCTTAATATGTTTCTTGATAATAGTATTCTTAGTGGTATTAATATTAGTAGTATTATCGTTAGTATTATTAGTAGTAATAGTATTACTATTATGTTTATGCTTACTATTATTAATACTATGACTGATATTATTATTATTAGTTTCATTATTATTATTGTTGTTATTATTAGTATTATTAATACTAGTATGATTCTTACTAATATTATTAGTATTAGTAATAATAATACTAGTATTAATAATAGTAGTTAGTATTAAGTAATTAGTATTAGTATTAAGTATTAGTAATTAGTAGTCGTATTAGAGAGTATTATATTAGTGTTTTGTTAGTATTATTATAGTGTTAGTATTCTTATATTGTTATTGTTATTAGTATTCTTCGTAAATAGTATTATCATATTTTTTTTTTTTTTTATTCTTAATATTAATATAAATGTGTTATTGTGTTAGTGGTATTAAAATTAGGTCCTTAGTAGGATTCGTAGTAATTATGATTATTATTATTGGTAATTTTTTGATTATTATTCGTAAGTAAAGTTATTATTGGTCTTCCTTCTTTTGTACATTTGGGGAGATTAAAGGATCTTCTTAATTATTGAAAGAAACCTTAGTGATTGGGGGGATGAAAAACGACTGAAGGGTTTTCGCAGATTTTAACGTATAAATTGTTCTCTGATTGATTCTTGTTAGAAAATCCTTAACAGGTATTAAGTAAAGTCAAGCAATTGTTAGTAGTATTCGTATTATTCGTCTTAGTCTTATTATTATTCGTCGTAGTCTTATTAATATTATTCGTATTATTCGTATTATTAGTCGTATTATTATTATCATTATTGATATGCTTATTCGCCTTAGTCTTATTATTCTTATTATTAGTATTATTAGGTTGCTTCACCTTCGTATTCTTCGTATTATTCTTATTGTTGCTATTATTATACGTCGTCGTCTTCTTATTATGATTTATTAGTCTTATTAGTACTCTTACTATTATTAATATTATTCTTCTTATCACTATTATTATTATTCGTCGTCTTCTTCATATTATTATTGTTTTTCTTACTAGTATTATTATTCATCTTATTCCTAGTATCCCTCCTAGTAGTCATATTAGCGTTCCTCTTCTTATTCCTCTTCTTCTTCCTCTTCTGTTTCCCCTTATTATTCCTCTTCGGCTTCCTCTTCTGCCTCCTCCTCCTCCTCCTCATCCTCCTCCTCCTCTTCATCCTCCTCCTCCTCCTCCTCCTCCTCCTCCTCCCCCTCCTCCCCGCCCCCGCCCCTCCTTCCTCCTCCTCCTCTCCTCTCCGCCTCCTCCTCTCTCCTCTCCCTTCTCCTCGCTCCTCTCCTCCTCCTCCTCCTCCTCTCCTCCTCCTCCTCCTCCCCCTCCTCCTCTCCTCCTCCTCCTCCTCCTCTTCCTCCTCCTCCTCCTCCTCCTCCTCTACCTCCCTCCTCCTCCTCCCTCCTCCTCCTCCTCCTCCTCCTCTCCTATCCTCCTCCTCCTCTCTCCTCCTCCTCCTCCTCCTCCTCCCCCTCCTCCTCCTCCTCCTCCTCCGCTCCTCCGCCTCCTCCTGTTTTCCTCCTCCTCCTCTCCTCCTCCTCCTCCTCCTCCTCCTCCTCCTTCCTCCTCCTCCTCGTCCTCCTCTCTCGCAGCGGCGTGCCGAGTCGCAGTCGCCGCCGTCGTTGCCCGCGGCGCGTGGGCCCGCGGGCGCTGGATTCTGGGCCGGCGGCGCCGCGGCCCAGAATCGGGCCCCGGGCGGCTGGGCGCACGGGGGCGGACCGGATCCTGGGTCGACGGCGCGGGGGCCCAGAATCAGCCTCAGGGCGCTTGGATGCGGGGGGGGCCGCGCGCTGGGTCGGCGGGGCGGCGCCCGCCCGGCCGGCTGGCCCCGCCCGCCGCCGCCCCCCGCGTCGCCGTATGTCCAGTCGCCGTCGCCGCCGTCGTCACCCGCGGCGCGTGGTCCCGTGGTCCGTGGGCGCTGGATTCTGGGCCGGCGGCGCCGCGACCCAGAATCGGGCCCCGGGCGGCCGGGCGCGCGGGGGCGTTTCTGGGTCGACGGCGCAGCGGCCCAGAATCAGCCCCACGGAGCGTGGAAGCGGTGGGGCCGCGCGTTGGGTCGGCGGGGCGGCGCCTGGCCGGGCCGGCCGGCCCCGCCCGCCGCCGCCGCCCCCCCCTTGTCGCCGCCAGCCCAGTCGCAGTCGCCGCCGTCGTCGCCCGCGGCGCGTGGGCCCGCGGGCGCTGGATACTGGGCCGGCGGCGCCGCGACCCAGAATCGGGCCCCGGGCGGCTGGGCGCACGGGGGCGGATTCTGGGTCGACGGCGCGGGGGCCCAGAATCAGCCCCAGGGCGCCTGGATGCCGGGGGGCCGCGCGGTGGGTCGGCGGTCGGCGGGGCGGCGCCCGGCCCGGCCGGCCGGCCCCGCCCGCCGCCGCCCCCCCCCGCGTCGCCGCTCGTCCAGTCACCGTTGCGATCAGCCCCAGGGAGCCTGGAAGCTGTGGGGCCGCGCGTTGGGTCGGCGGGGCGGCGCCCGGCCCGGCCGGCCGGCCCGCCCGCCGCCGCCGCCCCCCCCTCGTGTCGCCGCCAGGACGAGGCCCGACCGCGGGCGGTGCGCCGCCCCGCCCTCCTTCCCTCCCCCCGCCGCCCCTGCCGTGGCAATTTCTGGCTCTCGTGCGCCGCGGCCGCGGCGGCTGGCCGGCCGCGACCGCCCGGCATGGCGCAGCCCGGCACCCCGGCGCTCGCGGCCTGGGCGACGGGCGAGGCGGCCGCGGCGGCGGCCGCTGAGGCGCGCGGCTGGGAGGCGGCCGACGTCCCCGGAGAGGGTGGGCGACGCCGCGAGGCAGCAGCGTCCTTCTTGCGGGACGTCCGGGCGCTCCAGGCGGCCCGGCCAATTTTCCCCACAGGCCCGCCAGGAGGCCCGGTAGCGCGCGCGTTGGTGCAGGGCGGCTTGGGGACGTGGCGAACGTTCGACACGGCGCTGGCGACGACCCTTCAGAACTGGCGCGCGCGGCTGGAGCTGGGCGGGCATGGGGCACTCTCGGGGCGCGTTCATGGAGCTTGGGAGGGCGCTCTACCGGTGCAGGAGTGCGTGGCCGCGCCCCGGGCGGCGCGCGCCGCGCCGAGAATCCTGGCGGCGCTCCACGTGCAGGAGACTTTGGCGCGCGCGGGGGCGTGGGCACCCAGGAGGCCCGGATCGTTTCGGTGCTCGAGCGGCTTCGAGCAGCGCAGGTAGCGGCGGCGGCCATCGCAGAGCCCCGACTCGGGCCTGGCGCGCGTTGGCCAGACGCGGGTTACGCCTTCTATGGCGAGCGGTCCTCGTCCCCGGGCACAGTTGCCGTGCTGGTCCACGAGTCGCTCGGCGAAACGACCGCCCCCGTGGCCGATGTGGGCGACGAGCGGGCGATCTGGCTGCCGCTCCCGGGGGCTAAGGGCGGCGGCGTCCTCGTCCTCGCGGCCTATGGGCCGCCGCCTGCGCACGGAGGGCCCGACGACAATTCTGGGACGCGCGGTTGATGGAGTGGCGGAGGCTGGCCCTCCAGCCCCAATTCCGAGGGTGGTCCCTGGCGATCCTGGGTGACGCCAACCTGCACTTCGCAGACTTGGCCCCAGCGAGCGAGCGCTACGAGGGGCCCTTGGAGCGTCACGTCCGGGAGCTCTTGCGGGCCACGGAAGGGTTCGACGCCGTGGTCCGCAACCCGCGGGCCACGCCCACGCACGCATCGGGCACGGCCATCGACTGGGTCGCAACGTCGCAGGACCTGCAAGCGGCGGTGGAGGTCATCCCGCCGGGCGCGCCTGGTGTCCCCGCGGACCGCGCCCTCCTGCTCGCCCGCTTGCCCGGGCAGATGCGGGTGGACGAGGCGCCGAACATTGGCCGAGCGCGGTGGCGCGGGGACGCGGACTGGGCGGGCGCGTTGGCCGGCGCCGCGGCGTCGCTGGCCTTCATCGCCGGCTGGGCTGCGGTCGCTTCCCGGGACCCGACCATCCGCGCCTGGCTCGCGGCGGGGCAGTGGCGCGGCGCGCGGCAGGCAGCGCTGGACCATGCAGTGTGGTGGCGGGCCGTGGTTGTCGCCATCCGGGGGCATTTGAGCGGGCTCGTGGCGGTCCGATGGCCGAGGCGCCCGACCAGGGCAGGCCTCGCCAGGCCCCCGCGGGCCGGCCCCCCGCCCCCCCCGGCGGAGGAAGGTCCGGGCGGCGCCGCTGCCGCGACCCTCGGAGCGCTCGCGGACGCGCGGGCCAGGCAGATGCGCCGATATTTGCGTCTGGCGGCGGCGGCGCCCGGCGAGGCCGAGGCTTTCCTCAGTGCGCTGCTC